TTGCGTCTGATAACATTTGCGAGTCGATGCTGGTGAACGATCCATGAACATAGTGAGCCTGAGAGCTCAACGTCGAGCTGCACTCGCTTCCAATCGAATAACGATCGCTTATTGATATAGCAGAGGATGAACTGGGTAACCTCTGAAGAAAGACATTTCTTAACTGAGAAAAGATAAAAACGTCAGGGATTACCATATCTGGGTTCAGCATGTTTCCAGTTAGTGCATAATTTTCTTGCTCAACATTATTATCATGAATGGCATCACTCAAGAAAACCGCGCCATGTTCATCCATTGGTGAATTAACATCCAGCATACCTGCCGCAGATGGTTCAAAGGAAGAACTTTGAACATACTTAACTCATACAATCAAGGTAGTCAAAACAAGCTTACATTTATATTTTCCACGAGAACAAGAATATCGACCAGAGAGGTGATAAGAATGACGAGTGGCAATAGCAACACTACCCTGCGAGTCTGAATGGGAAAGGTCATCCATTGTGCCCAACGGCGCCGGATCATCGATTATATCATCTTCATCATCCTCGTAAGTCTAAAAGTCAGATAGCAGCGCGATGTTCATTTGGGAAGATGAAACTTTAAGAAAGAGGCTTAAGCTATCTTATATAGATTCACATATGAAAATCAGCTCAAATTTTATTTTTGTAAAACTGGACCTCTTGAAATATGACTATTCCTTAGCTGCTAAGATACATTTCTAGATTCATTTGATTGAGTCTCCAAGTTCATAGCCCTACAATTCGAAGAGCTAAGAGTTTTTACGGCTTTCAACTTAGAAATTTTATGCATAGACTATAAATTAAGGTAAACAACTGGAAGTCAAGCAACAATCTAGCTAGTTGAAGCCGAATAGAGCACCAGCAACATCAAACCATGTAAAGCATATATATGAAAATGCTGTTCTTGGAACCAAAAAGGAAGACGACCATAACTTTTGTTGAAGGAAAAACGTTAGCATAATGTGTTAGATACCCGAAGTTCTACGACCTTTACACAGTTACTGTATTGAGCCCCACATAGATAGATACAAGGTTAGGAACCTACCGCTGTGTTTGAGAGACTGGAGCTAGACACAGTAGTGGTGTGAGACATGCTATCCGACGAACAAACATCTCTCTTGTCGTATTTTCCCCAAAATTCTGGTGGTGTCAATGAAGCTCTCTTTGCTAAACTTCCAGGGTAGAAGTGTTGGCCAGCATTCGGCTCAGAAAGTGGTGAGTGGAACGACTGTAATGTCGATTAGCAGAGATTTCCAATTTATAACGCCAAGAAGAAATCAATTACATCAAACGTCTGAGGCAAGTTTTTCTCTCGCACACTGCTAATGAGTGCTTCCAGATTGGGTAGATTGTAATTCGACAACATCTCCCAATGGAAATCTGGGTGATTGAAAGCGGCAAGGAACACTGCAAGGAAGCAATTTTACGATTCCTACACGTAATTCCCAAAAAGGAAAATTTACAGCGCTTCTGGTCCGCAAAATTGGTCGCTTTGCTCACGTCACTGAGAATTTGATCAATGAA